GAAATGATGCCCGAAAGTAATGTCAAACTTGAAGAAGACCCTTGAAAAGTTGTGACTAGTCGGAGGACTGCAATCCCTGGACTGCCGCCCACTTAGGGACGAAATCATCCATAAAATCCACGCTGCCCCCATAAATTTCACTCTTGATTCTCAACAAATTCAATGTTTGGTAGTCTTATTCCGTTGCTCTGAAAATCAACGAGGGCTTCCGCCGGATACGGCCCTTTCGTAAATAAACTGAGGATCGTTCGCGCCCATTTTTACATGAAAAATCTCATTTCTTTTCCCTATCGCCGACAAAGGTGAGACCTGAGAGAAAAGGACTAAAGTAATGTCCAACTTGAAGATGACCCATGATAAGTCGGAGTCGACTAGTCGAAGAACCACAATCCCTGGACTGCCGTCCACTCTAAGGAGATGGACCAGTTCTCGTAGATTCTCTGGGCAATGGAAAAAGACTACAAAACCTTGAATTTGTAGAGAATCACAAGGGAAATTCAGAGGCGCAGCGGCGGTTTTATAGATGATTTTGTCTCTAAAGTGGGCGGCAGTCCCAGGATTGTGGTCCTCCGACAGGTTACAACTTTTCAAGGGTCCTCGTCAAGTTGGACATTACTTGCAGGCATGAACTAAGTCGATTGCTTCCGGGTTTCTCCTTTGTCAACGTGGAAAATAAGGGGCCCGTGGCAAAGGACGACATTTTCAATGAAAGAATCGGCACGGACGTTCATCAGTTCATTTGCGAAAATGCCATATCCTGTGGAAGTCAACGTCGATTCTTGAACAACGGAAAAAGACTACAACACCCTGACCCTCAAAAGTGCAATTAAGGGGGGCAGCGGGGGTTTTATGGATACTTTTGGCCCCAAAGTGAGCGGTCGTCATGTATTTCTGGTATTCTAATAACTAGTCGTGTTTCTTAAGGGACCCTCGTCAAGTATGGCAGATTTTTGGGCACCATTAAAGGTGAATTTCCTGATTTCCCCCCGCTCTGAAACGAAAAAAAACGGGGACAGGGGGTTGAGAGTAATACAGCCTCTCCATCAATTTACAGGCCGCTTCCGCGATTACATTTTCATGCAGATGCACTCGGACTCGATGCTAATTCCGTAGCTCGGAGATCGGAGCTCGTTCAGACTCTTCGCATTTTAATGGAATTTTTTATTGAATTAGACCCCTCCCCCTCCCCGGTGGGGACCGTGGTGGCTCCCGTACTTGGGGGCAAATGAAGATTCAAGTTTCACATGTGGAGTTTCCAAGGACTTTCTAAAAAGAGAAACGATCTATCCATGAGCCGTCGAACCTACTCTAAATCCCTCGTCTCACGGTCAAATGAACTAATCAAATGCAAGATGGCGGGTTCATCAACATTGACGGCCCGCTAACTTTGGTTGGCAGACTTGCGCGAAAACCAGTCGCCATCTTGCATTTGATGACTATTTGATGAGTTCATTTGATCGTGGGACAAGGGCTTATGAAATAAAGGTGCAGATCCCCCAGATAAACTTCGGGCGGATAACATTTGGCAGGAGGATCAGATTGACTCGCAGTTTCCGCCGATTTTGTTTTGGCCCTTGTCATTTTAAATTCTCAAGTCGAAAACTGAAAACTGGAAAGTACCTCACCAAGTTTTTCCCTTTGATATGAAGAAGATCGCGGAAAATTGAATATTCCTATTCCAATTTTACCTTTTACCCCGCGTAAATAAAAGCGAAAAATCTGTAATGGCAATGAAGACTACAACAAAATAAAAATAATAAATTTAAAATAAAACCCAGAAAATAAAAGAAAACCTAAGATATATGAGTACGCCAATTTAAAGACTACATAATTGTGTTAGATATTTTCGATTGCAGTCGATGGTTATTATGTTAAAAACATCATGGCCACAATTTCGAACGTTTAAGGTTTAGTGGTCCTTTAAAATTTTGAACATTTGAAAAGAGCGGCAAATTCAGACAGCCTAAGCTTCTGATCAAATAAAATCAGTTCATTGAAATACATTGGCGCTTAAGATTTCTTGCGCGCCCCTCCCCCTCTCTACGATCAGTCTCTATCAGTGGCGCGGCGTGGCGTGAATGATCGACTATCGACATCTCTCCATTTGAAGCTATAGTAAAGAATCGATTATTAAGGTGTTCGTTGCGAACACCCTGTCTATCGATCCTTTTCCATTGGTTTAAATGGCAGATCAATCGATACATCGCAAAGCACGCCACGCCACTGGTCTCTATCTTTTCTCAGCGACACTCGCCGAGACAGAATCATCCTCAACTCTCAAACAGGATTTTGGATCGAGCAGCCGATTTATGCGATAAAATTTACGGTCATAGTTTCCGGGTATCTCTCGGTTTAATCAACAACGCAGGAGCACGCCAAACGCGTGCGGAGGAGATGTAGAATGGGTGAGGAAACGCATTTATCTATTCAAGAACTGGAGTGCAACTATTTCCCCGGTGCCGCCGTTGATAAGTGTGTACCGCGGGTTGCGGCAAACCATTCTAGGTAGAACGTCTTAGCTATGTATGGTGGGTTGCGGGAAACCATTCGACGCAGGAACTTCGATCCCGCTTGTACGAGTGCACTAGTGCAGAGAGGCGTTAACGGGAAAGTGGCACCAATCCCCGCGTAAATGCAGGGTGTAGGGTAGCAGGGGTCTCTCATACCCGACACCCACTGGCAGGTGGTATGAGAATATTCCCGGATGAAAATCATGGACCTTTTCAGGATTCATCCATTCCTGGGATCCGGAGCCTAAACTCAGCCTCAGTGTGCCTAAATGTAACCCAAATCCCTCGAAAAATAGGAGGGCGTTTTTTTTTTTTTTTTTTAAAAAAAAAGAAGGAAGGTAGTAGTAGTAGTAGTAGTAGTAGTAGTAGTAGTAGTAGTAATAGTAGTAGTAGTAGTAGTAGTAGTAGTAGTATTAGTAGTAGTAGTAGTAGTAGTAGTAGTAGTAGTAGTAGTAGTAAAATAAGTTTATTTTGAAGCGGTGCTTTAGCATCTAAGGCCATTTACACCTCTGTGTGGTTACATTGTAATAAAGAAGAAAAGACGGAAGGAAGGAAAGAAGGAAAAATCCCAATGTAGGTGTTGCAGGTTTATTTGACGTTGTCCATCTAAAATTGAGTTTTCTCGTATGTTTCAGATGGGGTTCAAGTGCAGTCTCCGAAGCAGAACCAGGGACGATCTCGGAGTCGGACACGGGAGCGCTACGATCCCGTCGAAACGGGAACTCGGAGTCGGAGTTCGGAAGTGTGAGAGCGGTGTCGCAGCTGCCGCCCTCGGTGGTGGAAGCGCCGCCGGCTCCGATTCTGCCGTCAGACGACGTAATCCTTTACGGGATGCGGCTGGAGAGTGCTGAGTCGCCGGCCGAGTACGACGAAGCCGGTGTCCCCGAGCTCCTGGCAGGCACTAAGGCCACGTTTCGCCTCTTTGGCTCTGGCTGGACCAACCAGACCGTCTTTGCCCTCACCGCCAGCAGCGGCCACCGTAACGGCTACTGCGAACATCCTAAGGACGAAGTCGCAAAGGTAGGCCCTGTCGCCAAGGCTAGCACAATATATAATAACACCGCCAGTATGAAACTCATTCATCAAATTATCACCAACTCATCTGAAATTACATTAATTCAATCAGCTCTTGTAAAAACAACTAATATTCATTTCCTCTACTTGCCGAAAGAAATTCCTCAACCCACCGGCAGCTCTGGGGTTGCATAGTAACCAGTTAAGAAGCATAATATGATATCCATATTTGAAATCGGTTGGATCAAGAAATTGCTTCCCGTGAACCACTGTTTGGCAACCCTGCTAAAAGTGTTACATGTAAAATTTTGCATGTAAATACAGTTTCATGGAAAATTCGGATGGAAATTTTTTCCATGAAAATATTTGGCATGGAAATTTTTTCCATGAAAATATTTGGCATGGAAATTTTTTCCAGATATTTCCATGAAACTGTATTTACATGCAAAATTTGGCATGTAAATAAACCTGCACCATTTGACTCCACCTAAAATTTCTATGATTAATGCAAGAATTATAAAATTAAAGTCACCCTCAAAAATTGGTCGGACTTTGAGACCTTTATCTGACTGTACCCACTGGAAAGCAAGCGAGTGGAGGAGCTGGCTATTTTTCTTTGGCCCAATATGTTTACAGGGGATCTTACCCTTACCTTATTTCAGGCATTTCTGCTTGTTAAGTGCTGCAATCTACTTTTTCTCCCGCAGCCCTGCTAAAAATTTTTCATGGAATTCCGTGCTGGTTTTCCATGGAAAATTTCTCCACGGAAAGCACCACGGAAAATGTCACCATGGAAAATTTCTCCATGGAAAATTTCTCCACGGCAAATTCTCACCGTGGAAACCTGCCACAGCACTCACTGTGTCTCATGCAGGTTTCCACCATCAAGTTACCATGGTGTTGTTTCTTTAAGTCATCATAGAACTGTTCTACTCAATGTTTCTGGTTTTTTTAGTATTTAATTAGATAATTTACAAGTTTTCCTTGTAATCAATATAAATGAAAATGATACACTCACCAACTTGAAGACACATAGTACCAACTATACTTGACAGAGATGTAATAATTCTTTTAACAATTGAGAAACTACCGCACTGTACCTTCGCGTCACATACTGCACGCTCAACGTTTCAAATAAGATTTCATTCAGTTGACAATGTGAAAACATATTCAAATTATTTCACAATAAGCACGGAAAACAGCACCAAAAATTATCACAACACTA